CCCACGTCCCATTGAACACTCATAGAACAGAGCCTACCTCTGAAATGACATTATGGTCTCAAACACGTTGTCAACCGCCTACTATAACAACACAAAACAGATGAGGAGAAAACAACAGCAACCACAATGACGATTGTGACAACCACCAACACAACAACAACAATTATCCGTTTGCAATTTCCACTTGCACCCCCTTTACCGGAGACAGACGTGCTCTTGTAAGCTCTCTTTCCTAGTTAACCAGTTCATGTTGGAACTTTAGAAACGTATACATCAATTATTATTGATCAATCCTATATAGCCATATTATGCTGACAGAACGCTTTTTTCTTCTTCACAGCAGTTTCGGGAAAATACGGGGTTTTTTTTTTTGGTTAGCGTAACTATTTTAAAATAGAGTGATTACGAAATTTGAATTCTAATTTATTCAAATACTAGTTACAGTTTCATTTTGATTTTTTCACACAAGTAGGGTAACTGATCAGACTTTCGATAGAGCAAAATAAACTAATTTGGCTCCAAAATATAGAAAAGGCGTTTTGTCAGCTTACGACAGCTTAGCCCTTTACGACCGTTATACCAAGCGAGCAGAGCACAGATCTCGCAAACAAGTCAAGCGCCTGAAGGGTTTTCTTTGTAGCTGCCACCTCGATGACTTACGACTCGTAATACCCTACTCTGGGTGTGCACTTTTGCAATCTCTAGTACTTGCACTTTAAGGAGAAAGGCCGTCTTCGAGGTGATTCATGTGAGTCTGATTGCAACCATTTAAAGACTTCATCGACGTCCTATAGATTATTCACAGGGAGAACTGCTCGAGCTTATGATTTTGTCAAGGCAAACTCTATTACAGCGCCCTAGCAGAAGGCCGAAGATATTCAGTAGGACAGACTTTCTAGCGAGCTTATGCGCTTTATGAAACGCCTTCCCATTATATCACCCAGTCTGCTCTTTTGGAGTCAGATAAGTCGTAAACATATCTCACCCCACTCCACCCCACCCCCTTAACAAAAGAAAAAAAAGAATAAAATAGAATACAATAAATTCTATCAACATCAATCCCATCTC